TTCAGTTGTTGCTGTTGTTACACGCTAGAGTATCTGAGTCTTTGCACACGGAAAGCTTCCTTTTGCACAGAATGAGCTTCTAGCTTTTGTACAGACTAATTGAATGTATTTGGGGAGGGGGGGGGGAATAGGGAGTAAACCAATTCCAAGCAAACCAATCAGAGTATAATGCCTTTTCTGAGCGAATATGTGCTGTAAAAGGAGATTGTAATAGCAAAGGGAGGGCAGGCTCAAGTATAATTTGACACAAAGCGTGGTTTTATTTTTGTACTGATATGGATAAGAGACTGTACAGCATCTATTTATTTAGATGATTTATGTGGTAAATGTTGCAAACAAAATTATGAAAATATTAAATATGAGAACTGACATTTACCTAATGGTCTGTGTGGTCATTTACTTCCTCTTGCTTTAATTCCATAGCTGAATTATTTTCCGCCAGTTGCTTCTGTTGGTATAAACATGCAGTGTGGCTGGAAAAAGAATGGAAAATATATGTGCGTGTGTAGGAAAGACCAGTGAAGGACGGATGAAGTCTGGAGCCTGCAAAAGGCCATTTCTGACATTACTCAGTACTTTGATTCGAGGAGGTCAGGATCTGACTAATTTTTAATCCACGGGGTAAGTCGGAGCTCTGCAGAGGTGACCTGGGATGGGTGGTCCCTGATGGATGAGAACTTGAAGAGGAGCATGCTGATGGGAGGGAGGGTGGCTGCTCCTCTGGGCTTAGGGAGTTGTTGATGTCCTCACACAAAGCTATGGTGCCAGGACAGCTCTGCTGTTAGCAGAGCGATGGTGTGCCCTGTATCCTGCATCTCCTGCAGGAACAGAGAAAATCAGAGATGATGACTGGGTTGCCACATTGGTTGCCAGCAGGGAAGCGGCTCTCCTCCTGCAGGGCTTCAAGAAGCTCCCCCAGAGCACCACAGCTCCTGGGTGAAGTGTGGGCCCCTGATTCACTGCAGGTGAGGGGCCTGAATCCTAGAAGTTCTGATACTCCACAGATACTGATACTCCTTGGAAAGAATCTTAGGTGTCCACTTTGGTTTCTCACTTGTTCCCTCAAGGCGTGTGCCTCTCCGTCCTCAGTGGGGCTTGAGGCTGGCTGTTAATGGAGGCACTTCAGCAGGCAAATGGGGCTGTCTGAGACGTCTCTGGTAGCTATAACGTGGAGCTAAGAATCCCAACGCAGCTATGATGTCAGTCACAAAGCACAAGTCACACAAATGGCGGGGGGTGGGGTACGTTTCCTGAGTCGCATGTGGCAGCATAGCTAGGTCTTGCCAGTGCTACCAAAGCACCCCTGGCAAGCTTACCCTCAGCCAGGCATTGGAGTGATGGCATCAGAGCAGGACTCCAGCCAGCCACTTAGTTTCTGGCACCAGTGAGTGAGTCAGGTGAAGTTGTAAGGAGCTGCAGTGCAGAGTTACGGGAAAGCCTACTCTGGAAATTGTTTCTTCCTACCTCTGCCAATGCTGCAGAGGCTGGCTGGCACCAGAAACTCGTAACAGCTTGCATGTGTTTGTTGGATTAAAGGTTAATCTGGATAGTACTTCTTTTTGTCTTTAATAATCTGTTGCTATGCTGTGCTGCTAATGCATACAGGACAGCCGGCTTGCCTTGCACAGCTCTCCCCTACAGGATTCCTCGAAACAAGGGCACCAGGATGTGCCGCAGGATGTGTCCCAGGCCCCTGCTATGGTAAGGCAGCACCTGACAGGAGAAACAGAATGGTCTGAGCCCCTCAGTGCTCCCCAAGGAGCACGGTGTGGAACAGAATGTGCAGCCCCTGCAATGGCAAGCACTGTCAGGAAGCTGGCAGTCACCTCCTGCCTGCTCAGTGCCACTCATCTCCCCTGCTCTTGGTCCTTCTCTTCCCAGTATTTTGCTTGCAAAGCAACTGTTTTTGATGCAAGGATGAAGGAAACCACAGAGACTTGTGTAATCGTTGTGTAATCGTTGTGTAATGATCCTGATCCACTGGGAGCTGGGGCAGCTTGGGAATCTGTAGATAGGGCCTGGAGATACTGCCATACCCCAGCAGCGTCGGCACTGCATGAACTACCCCACGGGCCTTCTCCTCTCTCTGCTACGTCAAAAAGTTACCAGCTGGAGGGACGGCTGTTCAGCCGCTTCTTGGACTATGCTGAGCCACCCATACCTGCTGAACGGAGAGGTACATGGGCAGCTCTGTCTTTGCTCTTGCATGTTTCAGAGTTTTCAGCTGGAAAATCTCACATTTTGACACGGATTGACCATAAAATCACAGAATGGTTTGGGTTGGAAGGGACCTGAAAGATCATCTTGCTCCAATCTTCCTGCCATGGGCAGAGATGCCTCACACTAGACCAGGTTTCTCCAAGTGTTTACTTAGACACAGACGCAGTGTTTGCTTGAGGGGCTGAGGTGTGAGCAGCTACACCAGCTCTGGCTGTAGGCACGGGAGTAACAGCTTTTTTACAGCAGCCTGCCACTCCCGACAGCACCTCCCTGGAGCAAACAGCAACGGAGTCGGCTCATCAGCCTTGGAGTTGTTCTAACAGAGAGAAGCACTGATACTCCTGCCAGGTCTGCAAAAAAAACAAGCCTGAAGGCAGTTCTTCGCTTTGAGCAGGTGAGTTTCCCATTATCCAGTGCCATGTAAAACATAAATGAAAATGCTGTTGCACCTGTTGCTCTTCCCCTGTGCTCCTACACCGCTTGCTAGGTGGGGATGGTCCTGTTTTCCCCCAAAGCTCATTGCTTCTCGGTGTTAGCAACAAGTGCTGCAGGGTGTCCTACGGCACCAGGGTCGTGCAGGCAGCAAGGTGCCCCAAAAATACTTTATTTCAGTGTCTGTAGTAAACAATAGATGTTCCAGGAGAGTCACCTTCCCAAGTTGATGTGGGTATTTTTGTTTTACTGGAAATGTGAATGAAACAAAGGAAAATCTCAACAACGCTCTGAACAGCTGGATATTCTGCTGCTATTTAGTTTTGTCAAAGTGAAAGTTAGATGAAAGAGTCCAGGGCTGGATAATGCCTGTACAATGACTGCTCAGAGCAATTGGAGCAGTGGCTGTGGCTGGAAAAGAAGGTCCTGCTGATGAAAGGAGAAAGCACATGGAACTCTCCAAAACGCCGCTGCCCCTTCTGGTCCCTGGATCCAGGGTGCCTCATGCTCCTGCCCTGAGGTGAGGTGTAGTACTTGTTCCTCTGCCTGGGGACAAGGCTATCTGTCAGTCACAGCATGTGTGTTTGCAGAGCTGTGTGAGGGTTTCTGCCCGCTTTATTTAGGACTGCCTGCTTTTTAGGGTGGCTGGTATTGGCAGTTGGGAGCTCAATTATTTGACGCTCAGCTACAAGTGCAAAAGCAGTTGTTCAAACAGAGTGAACACTAACAAATATGCTAATTTAACTGTGGATGGTGCTAATGAACACTTAATGTGCAAAGTTAAATGCAGTTAAAAAAAGTGAAAAGCAAAACGCAATGGGTGTGATCGTTCTTTTGAAGTCGCCTTCAAGCCTATAGAGAATTGAGATCATTTTAAAAAGTGGTGTCTGGACAAATGGGGCAGTTCAGAAGTATTTGTCCTGTTCCAGGTGAGAGTCCCAAGTGATCTGTCTGGGCTTTTGTTCTCAGTTGGTCTGTGATGATAAATACCTAAGAAAAGGACCTCTTGCAGCCTGTTCTCAAAGCCAGTGGTATGACCTAAAAGCAGAATTATCAGTGCAGTACACTGTGGTTCAGTCCCTGACCACAGGAACACCTTCTTCTCTGAATTGTTCTCATCTCCTGAGCCAGAGTCTGTGTGACTGTCTGTCTGTTGTCTCTGTCAGCCTTCAAAGGAGGACGGGGCAGTGGGGAGCATGTCTCCTCTTGAGTCACTCTTCTCTGGTCAGAGAGCTGGTGGTGGCTGCAACATTTCAACTGCCAAGATGAAGAAGAACAAACCACTATGACAGAACTTGCCAGAATCACAAGCAGTGAGGAAAACCCTTGTTCTCCTCACTGCCTTGATCTTGGGATACCCATCCCTGCTCCTACTGATAAATACTGGATATTTTCCAGAATACTGTCCTTCTGGGTGGTATTTCGGAGCCAGAGGTGGAAAGGGAAAGGGGAGGTGGATGGAGAAAGGGCTAACAAAGCCTGAGGAAGAACAGCAATAGCAAATTGCCCTCACCACAGCTCCCCCTTTCTCCAGAGGGTACCATTCTGAAATACACCCTCCTCACCCCAAAAATGGAACTAAAGCACGGGAACATAACCAGAGGATATGGATGTGGCGGCTGGTACTTCCAGGTAGCCAGAGGACCACAAGCTCCATGTGAAGACAGTTACAAGACCAAGAGCTTCCATTTTGAATCACAGAGAATGAGTTTAGACTGAGGTTTGTTTCTGCAAATTAAACAGGGTTTTGCAGTGACACTTGGGGCAGGGAATTCCTCTAAGTGACTTAACATTTTTCTATATATTCTTTAAGGTTTATGTTGCATGCTTGGCCCGTTTACCTTGCAGGACTTTATACTGGCTCCGAAATGAGAACACACACAAGCGCCAGCCAAAAGGGAAAACCAAAAGGGATCTAGGTGCATTTACTGCTAGTTGTTGCCCTGGTAGGCACTTTAGGGTGGGTGACGGTGAATCTGCCTGTGGAGGAGGAAGCAGCCGCCATTATTTTAAGTGGAAAAAAAAAGGACGTGTTTAGGCGGGAAGGGGCTGAGGCACCACAGCCGCCATGCCGAGGGTCTGCCCGGGAGGGCTGGGCTTCCCTCCCCGCGGCCCGCCGGGGCTGGGATAACGGGTACCCCCCTCACAGAGGGGAAATGGCGAAGCCCCCTCCCTCACATCGCCCGTCGCACGGCCCCTTTAACGGCCGGCGCCCGCGCGCGACCCCCTTCCCTTAGCAACCGCCCCGCGGAGCGGGAGGGGGGAGGGTCACGCGCGGCCGCGGCGGGAGGGGGCGCGCGGGCGTGCGCGAGCCGGCGGCGGCACGAGGGGGGCGGGGCGGCAGGCAGGGGGCGGGGCGGCGCGGGCGGGCAGGCGGGATTATTATGGGCTGTGGGCGCCGCCGCCGCTGAGAGGAGCAAGATGGAGCTGTCTGCAGTGGGGGAGCGCGTCTTCGCCGCCGAGTCCATCATCAAGCGGCGCATCCGAAAGGTGAGGGGCTCACCGGCCTCGGGGTATGAGGGGAGCGGCTGCGGGGCATCCCCTGCTCCTCGCTGTAGGGCCTCGGCCGCGCCGCTCGCCCGCCTGCCGAGCCCCCGCCTCACCCCACACACACACGCACACCCCCCCACTTCCCCCAACCGCACACCCCCTTCCCTCATCTTCTCTCTCTGTGTGCGTTGCAGGGGCGCATCGAGTACCTGGTGAAATGGAAAGGATGGGCCATCAAGTGAGTGCATCCCGAGGGGGGGGGCCTCCCGCCCGCGCCGCCCTGTGGGGGCCGACCCCGGGGCGGCGGGGCCGGCTCGGGGAGGGATGAAGCGGGATGGGATGGGATGGGGATGGTGGGGGGGCTCTGTGTGGAGGTTGGTGCACTAACCCCTTCGCTTGTGTGTGTCCCTGCCCTGTCGCCCGTGGCCCGGCAGGTACAGCACCTGGGAGCCCGAGGAGAACATCCTGGATTCCCGGCTCATCGCTGCCTTCGAACAGAAGTGAGTGCTCATTCCCCCACCCCAGCTGGGGGCTGCAGCAGCTTTGGTTTGGGTGGGAGTGGGAGAGGCTGTTCAGCCTCCTCTTTTTCCTTTTTTTTTTTTTACCCTTTTTTCTTTATTTTTTTTTTCTTTTTTAACTTGTATACTGTTTCTCCTTTTGAGAAAAGTTTTAACTTCTTGACAAATTTGACTCCCTCAAGGGAACGAGAGCGTGAGCTGTACGGGCCTAAGAAGAGAGGACCTAAGCCTAAAACTTTTCTGCTGAAGGTAACTCTTATTTAAGTAACTTAGGCCTAGCTAAATGCTTCTCAAACCTCGCTAGTGTGTGCCCTTGGAAGGGCTGGACTTTCGAGTGACTTGTGCCCGCTGCTTGGCTTGGGGGATGTGGGGGCTACGTGATGGGAAAGCGGGTGGAGGGGAGAGCGTGTGTGCGTGCGATGAGTGCCCCAGAAGGAGAGTCGGCACATGTGGATGTGTACAGTGAGGCTGCGATCTCTTTTTCCAATATCCTTTCTCTCTTTACGGCCTTCTGCTGCCGCAGTGGAGAGCTAGCCAGCCTTGTTCCCTCTTCCTTCAGCAGCTTCTTCCAGCCAGCTCATTCCCTGCAACTTAGCAGCATGCTGAGCAATTGGGCAGCTGTGGCGGGAATCCTGCTGCCACTTGTGCTCCTCTGGTTATGTTTCAGGATGTAGGTGCTCTGTGGGAGTTTCATGAACGGTTCATGTTTTGATCTGTAAACTACAGGCTTGTTTTGCCTTTTTTCTGGGGGGGTGGGGTGGGTGTTGTGGGGGGAGGAGTGCATAGGATAGTGGCTGAAGTTTCCAGTTCCCATCTGATAGACCCAGCATCTCTGTAAGAAGCTGTCGTAGCATCTCTGCTTGCTGACAGTGAGGAACGAGGAAGGTGGTCCTTAGTGCAGCTGCCACCCGCCCCCCCCCCCAATTTTTTTACTTATTTTAATTAAGAAATGCGGTAGCTGCATGACTGCTGTGAGAGCTCTGTGAATTTATTAGCTTACAAACTCCTTGCTTTGCTCTCCTCTTCACCTTTCGTCTCCAACTGTGTCAATATCAGATTTCAAATGAATGTAGAAACAACACACCTTTGTATGATTAAGACAGATGAGCGAGTTCATAGCTGTCTTGGTTTTGATCTGGTGTAAAGCCCTGGAACAGCTAGGGTGGACCCTGTGGTAAGGCATCACTATCACTAAGTCATCCTATGGCTTTGGGCAAGTCATTTAGCCGTTGTGTATGTTTCCCCATCTGAGAAACAGGTTAATACTTTCTTTGCCTGGCAGTGATAGGAGCTTTACTCAAGTCAGTGAAGCACTTTAACTGTATGAGCACCAGAAAGAGCAGAAAGGGGTAGGGTGTCACCTCTTATCTGCTTTAAGAGGACATAATGAAGCACACAGAAGAAATGCAGGAGCAGGCATATTCCCCTGATGCCCCAGGGGACTCTGATTATCCTGAGAGTCCTTCTGATGGAACTGTCCTTCTCCCTCATCGCCTCTTTTTCTGGTAACAGTTTTCTGTATCTGCAGACTGAGAGCTACAAACGTGACTGATACATGCTACCTCTTATGCTTTATTCAGAGAAACTAGACTAGTTTGGTTTTCGCTTTCTGGCAGTCATGCATTAAATGAAACCCTTGTGTTTAGGTTTCCAACAATGCAGAGGAATGCTTAAAGGGGAACCACCAGCTTAAAATGGTTCTCTGCTTGAATTAAAAAATACTGGTATTTGTAACACTTGACATGGTTCAGAGTGATAGAGAAGTGTTTATGCTGTGCTTTTAACTTTACTGTGTGTAATCAGTTTCTTTTGTTTCTCAATATGATGCGGCAAAATCCAGTCCCAATTTTTCAGTCATTTAAAAACCCCAAACCAACCTCCAAACTCAAAAATAAAACCCACTCGTTCCTCCTCTTCTCCTCTTGCCCTTTAAAAAAAAAAAAACAACTAAACTTGGAACACGAATGATTCAACAGCATCCTTTGAATCACACCCCTGACACGTTTCTGTGGCACATCTTCCTTCTACCCGCTTCTCAAACACAGCTGAAAACCTGTAGGTTTGCAGTGCTGGCTCCGTACTTTATAGAAGATGGATCGCGACAGCAAGTGAGATGAGCTCTCCTGAAGGCTGGTGCCACATTGTGGGAAAAGCTGGCAGGGCAGCTCTGGGAAATGGAGCTGGTGAACCCATTTGTGCTCTCTGACTTGCTGATTTTCTGTGACTTTGTGTCCTACCCTAAAAATAACACCCCAGGCCAGCCAGCAAGAAGTAATTCTATCTCAGGCTAACCAGCCCTATCTGAACTTGTCTGAGCTCTGTTCAGGCAGGCCATTGGCAACACAGGTAGGGCCAGAAACAGGACAGAGACCACCAGGATAGTTTGCATCGTGTGCATCTCCCTGTCAGCTCTTCTGAGGTGCCGAAGATGCACGTTTGACCTCTGCTACCCTGCAGCACCAGTGCTGCTGAGAGAGGAGTGGGGTTTGATTCTGCCTTGCACATTGCTAATGATGCTTTTGGTTATTCTAACTGCAGATTCTCGTGCCAGTGAGCATTTCAGAAGCAGGGGAAGAAATCTGATTCTTGCATCCCAGAGGGAGTCTTTGGAGTTGGCAGTTAGAACAATATTCTTTTTGATCTGTTAACAGATTAGGCCTGGGTGCAATGATGTTTAAGCAGGAGTCTGACCTAGGACAAACTTGGTAGACTAGTTCGCCCTCGACTCAGTGGCTTGCTAGGATTTTTCAGGTGTATCAGTGCTTAAACTTGGGCTTCCGAGCCACTAGTAAGGCATTGAAATAAGTGCTCTGATACACCACTCTGTCCTGTGAGGGTGTATCACTCAGGATAGTTTGCAGTTGTGAGGCTAGGCTGGCTCACAACTGGCTTGTTGTGAGCTGTGTGAGGGTGATTTAGTTTGCAGCTGGGGCTAGGTTTATCCTAGGATTAGTTCTCAAAAGCTGTGGATAGGCACCCAGGGGAATTTTCAGAAAGCATTCCAGCAGGTTAGTGCCCATGCCTTTGGAGAAGCTTTGAAAGGCTGCATCTTTGGCCACCTGCTGCCTTTGTAAGCCAGGCTCCTGTTGCTGAGAGCTGTCTAACATTTGCCCTTTCCATCAGACTGCAAAGGGAGATTACAGCCCAGGCTTTGTAACATCGCTATCAAGATGGCCATTGTTGAAAGTGACCCCTCCAAAGTTTTGGGTAGGAAATGGGTCTTTATCCTCTTCATACTGGGGCAAACTTTCCCACAGCTGAGATCAAGCTTGGCAGGAGGTTGTAATTCTTGGGAGGTTGTTCGTATGTCATAAGCATTGTGCTGAGTGTATGGGAAGCTGAGTCCTTGGTCTGAAATGGGCAGCTCTGGCTTAAGGCTCTTACCTTACTACTTAGGTGTCCAGCTGAAGTTATCCTTGAGGACAGGCTCTTCAGCTGCAGGTCAGAGTGGAAGCTGGTGTGAGGTTAGGAAGAGTCACAGCACATGCTTTAGTGCTTTTCCTCTCTTTCCTCTGCTCAGTTTGCTCTTTTTATGTTGCTTTTCCCTCGGCACTCTGCTGTGTGGAATGCAGAAGTTGCCAACTAATCTAATAAAGTCTAGCAAGCGCTGTTAAGAGACAGACCGCTGCAAGCTCAATGGGTGGCTAGCAAAGACCCCTGCTTGGAATGGCTGTAAATACTAAGGTGAAAAGACTGGAGAAGGTTAATGGGCAGGGAGAAGTAAGGGCGAGTAAAGCAGAGCCCTAATGGGAGGGGGGGAAGAAGGGGCCAAGCAGCATGGTGTTCTGTCACTTTGCCCTTCCTTGAACTCTAAAGTTGGAGTTGGGTTTCTTTTGATCTCCTCCCTGTTCGTAAATTATCCCCAAGTGGTTTGAAAACAGACCATTCCCCTTTGTAGTATTTTGTTCCCCATCCAGTAGGGAAACTTAGTTTATGGCAGTGTTGCTTGGGAGAACCATGCTATGAACTGGCTTGCTGTTGCCTTCTCACTTGGAAGACTGCAGAAGAAAGGGGGTGATAAAAAGGACGAATGGCAGCCAAAAAGGGGAAAGAAGAGCTTTTGCGAATGCTGTTTGGAGCAAGGACTGTGGGAATGTAGGTAGAGAATAAAGGACAAAGCAGAACCAGTAATTTATGAGAGAGTCGTGCTACCGTGGTGCAGCAGCACTACTGGAAATGGCTTGATTTTGAAATAATTAACTAGAAATCCATTGCCTTACAAGGATTTTTTTTTTTGTCTTGTTTATTTCTCCTTCCAAACTGCAGAGATTTTGATACAACTCAGGTAGCAGAGGCTTTTCTAAGCACGTGTCCATGTACGTGCTCGTGTGCCTCAGTGCGTTAAGGGAATGAATGAACAAATATGCTTGCTGTGCCTCAAGGGACACTTATTCAGAAATAGTATGGAACGGGGGAGATATACCGGTTCCCAGGGGCAATGAGGGAGAGCTGTACAGGCTAAATAAAGGTGATATGTATCCCAAAAGGGAAGAGGGGGAAGGGCAGCAGTCCTAGAAATTGGCATGCTCTTATAATGGAGCACTGCAGCAAGCCTCCAAAAGCTGCATCCTGATGTAGGCTGAGCTGTAAGGCAGAGAGTGAATTACTTTGTATACATGCTGAGTACTTCTCCAGCAGTGAGCAAATCCTGCAGGTGAAAGCTGCAAACCACAGAGAGCTAGTTTCCATTTGGAAAACTTCTGAGTTAAATAGCAAACTGTAGTGAAACAGCTGAAAGGATTAAATGGGTTTGTTTTTCAAAGACCTTATGCACATATGTCTCATGAGTGTGACAAAATAATGGATCTGTAGCAGGGAAAAGTGCATTTCCAACAGATAAAACTGAACGCTGAGTCTCTTCCAAACCAGAGGTAGCAAGTTATTTAATGTGAAGTTGAAAGTGGGAGAAGGAGAGCCCAGAAAATGTGCTGTCTTCGTCAGGGAAGAGACCTGAGCTTATATAGTTGATGCCTGAATAAACCTGATCCTGTGGTAGGAATACTGAGCTTCACAAGTGAGAAGGCTCTGGGGGCTGGTTTTAGATAAAGGAACTGATACTATTTTTCTTGAAACCTTACCTGGAAAAACAAGCTCAAGGTAAGCTGAATATTTGCATATTGTTCTTTGGAGCTTGCCCTAAAGCTGGTCACTGGGGGATAGCAGTGTTGCTCCAGGGGAGAACTGTTGAGTGCCAGCTTACCCTCTCTCAGTAATCTGGCTAAAGAGGTTGATGCTGCACATAGTCTACCTGGAGACTACTGAAACTGGAATTTAATAAATGCAGAGAGCTGAAATAGGAGTTAGAAATGGCTTCAGCTTGAGGAAGTAACTGGAAACACAGACACATAGCAAGTAAGGGAGACCTAGTGGTTCTGGCACACTGGAAAAGCCTTAGCAGGGCTCTGTGCTAGCTGCTGTGTAAGCACAACACCCAAGACGGGTCTCCCTGTCAAAACAGGACAGGAGCTGATAAATGCGCACAGGCTGGGGAAGGAAAAATCAGCAGGACTATAGAAGTGGCTGGGCAGTGACCATCCCAGCATTATCCCTTTTCATTTAACGTGGTTGATGGGAAGCTGTGCTGAGGAATTTTGAGGTGTATAAGGCAACTGTGGGTGTTTGTTACTGCTTCCCCCTGGCTTGGGGGAGGCTGCCTCCTTTCTCACATGGGTGATGGAAGGCAGTGCTGTGGGCAAGGCAGCAAATAGACTCAGAGCAAAGTGGCACAGAGAGGGCAGAACTCCTCACTCCAATGTGTGATTTTGGGGAAGGGAATTCATCAAGATATGTGGTGTTGGTGGCAGGAAGGGCCCTGAAAGATGCCTGTGTCTACCTGCTGAGGCTGTGGATCAGGGATTTTTTTACTACTGTATCTGTCCTTCAGTACCCTCTGCCTGACTCCTCTGTCTTGCATTTTGGACTGGGACGTAATGTCGCGCTTCCTCTCAGCTGAGCAGTGGTAAACTGGCAAGAAGCCCAAAGCACAAGAGCAGCAGTGCTAGGACTGTGATGGGCAAGGAGTGGAAAGGAGGAATGAAGTTGTTAATCCAGGCTGTGCTGGTATGTAATGTCAGAAAGCAAACTGTAGCTTAGCCTGGTGTCTGCCATCTGCTTCAGAGGGACCTGTGAAGAGAAGAGCAAGCAGAGCCCTAGATGTGTATCTCTCTGTTCCTGTCATCTCCTCATGGGATCTCTGGGGTCTCTAAATTGTGGAACACTGGGATGGGGTAGTTGATAATGTGGTGCAGGGAGTTTGTCTCGTGCTGCTGCTGTGCTCCAGCATGTAGGACATCTGGGACAAGAACTGTGTCTATTCATTTTCTGAGAAGTTTTGGGCATGGAATAATGTACAAGGTTGAGCAAAGAGAAACTAGCTGAAAACTGGGATGCTTCCTGCTACAGCAGGGCATGCTGAGGTTTGTCTGCCCTGGGGACACTTCCCTCTAGCTAGGTGAAACAGCACCCTGTACAGCCTAGGGTTAATACGGAGAGCATCTGTGCCTGCCTTGGCATTGTGTTATTCATCCCTGTTTCTTTGTCAGTCAGCTAATAAAAAGTCTATAGCACCTGGTTCAAATGAGCCTTCAGTCTGCATTTTCACGTACAGCTGGGGAAGCAAGCCTCATCTTTGCAGTCCTTTTAAAGACAGGATACAAATAGTACTGAAGGGCATGATCGTCCAGCATTAGCCAGGGGGGGAACAAAATTTCTTCACTTTTGTTTTCTGCTTGCTCAGGATCTTCTGTGGTTCCCATGGGGATTTCGGTGGAAGAAGAGGGGCACTGGGTGGCAGCAAAGCTGTGGGGGTGTCTAGGGCTTTGAGCTTATTGTGCAAGAGCTGGCCTGGGCCCCTCGCTTAGATGTGTTAGATCCCTGCCTTTACACACACATTTTTTTCCCCAGGCGTTTCTCTGGTTTGAGGCACAGGCTGCAGGGTGACAAAGGAGATGGTGTTGGAGTGCTTAAGCTCTTAGCTGGCAAGAAGCCATCCCGATCTTGGCGTTTGCTAGGGGGCAACGGGATGGAAAAGTTGGGGAAGAAAAGCAGCTGTTGTCTATAGCATTGCAGTTCTTGTCGTGCCCACGAGGTGGGGGAAGCTGCTCGCTGCATGGGCGATTGGAGGGGGCTTACAGTGGTCGCAGGCAGGAATTAAGGAAGGGGATGGTTTGGGCAAGGAGCGAGGTGCAGGTGGGAGGCTGAGCAACTGTGCTCTGACAAGGTGTGATGTAAGAACATGCTCTGGGTTTCCATGCCCACAGGGTCTTCAGGTCATACTGCCTCAGCTTACCAATGAAACTGTTGTTTCTGCTGCCAGAAAACGTTCCCATCTGGTGCGTGAATCAGGGCAGGTTTTGGCACTATCTCCAAGCACGAGAATTGCTTAAAAGTCTTGTTCCCCTGCCCTGGCTTTTGGGAAAGACAGGCACTGAGCAGTTGAACGGGTGCTGTTCCTGCTCTGTTTTATTAGTAGGTTTCAAGTGAGTGTGGTGGTCAAAAGGACAAGGCAGCCTCTTTGGAGATGCAGTTAAACTTGACTTGAATTCTAGCTGCTTTGTTTTAAATACTGTCTATACCTCGCTTCCACAGCAGAGTGAGGATAAACGCCTGCTTGTGGTCTCTAGTTGAAGTTAAGCTTTGGATCTCTGCTTTTCTTGTGTTTAGCTAAGATAGCTCTGTCAAACCACCCTCACCTGCCTCCATCTGTGCTCCTCAAGGCCCCTGTCTGCCATGCTTTGTAGAGTAAATGAGTCTGGTTGTGGAAGGGGAAGAGCAAACTGGATGCGTTCCTCTTCCTCTTCTCCTTATTTTGTAGAGGACTTGGTACCGTCCCCTGTCTTGGGACTAGTATGTGATTTTTTGGATGCTAACCCAACACTAACAGTCCCAATGCTTAGGAGGACACTTAGTTATTTGGCTGACAGTGGAGGGTTGTGCATGTTGCCTGATGATGACTGAGGAGGACCTTGGAAACCATTAACTGTAACCCTGAAACACGGCTGGAGGGTGGCATTTTCCTTTTGTGGAAAACACATGTCAACAGGGGCACAGCCTAGGGAGAAATTAGCTACTCAGAAAGGATACAGACAGTACTTCCTGCTTGTAGGGGGACTGTTCCGTAGCCATCAATAGTCCAGAGGTGTGTATGTGGTTTTGTCATTAATGTGGGTATAAATGTGCCACGGCATTGCTGAGGTGAGAAATGCCTGATTTGAGACTTGGCTGCTCCTAGGCTGCCTCTCTGACCCTGTTTTGTTTTCTCTCTCCCCACCACCGCAGGCTCGGGCCCAAGCAGAGGCCCTCCACATTGGGGATGTACACTTTTCTGTCAAGCCTGGTTCTAGCACCTCCTCTCCCAAGCTCCACTCCAGTGCTGCGGTGCACCGGCTCAAGAAAGACATCCGGCGATGCCACCGCATGTCCCGGCGTCCTCTGCCCCGTCCGGACCCCCAGAACAGCGGGAGCATGGCGGGGGGGGCTGGCATACGTCCTCCTGTCTCACCCTTCTCGGAGACCGTCCGCATCATCAACCGCAAGGTGAAACCTCGCGAGCCCAAGCGCAGCCGCATCATCCTCAACCTCAAAGTCATTGACAAAGGTGGGAAACCAGCCAACGGTGCCGGGGGCCTGGCTCGGCCCAAGATCCCCTCCCGAAACCGCGTCATTGGCAAGAGCAAAAAGTTCAGCGAGAGCGTTCTTCGCACCCAGATCCGCCACATGAAGTTCGGCTCCTTTTCACTCTACAATAAACCGTCCACTGCACCTGCCCCCTCTCTGGAGGGCAAAGGGGAGGCTGAAAGTTCCCAGGCGGCCTCCTGTGGGCTCATTATGGGTTCCACTCCCTATGATGCCCCCAGCTCCAGCTCCTCCGGCTGCCCGTCACCAGCCCCCCACTCCTCCTCTGACCCAGATGATTCCCCTCCAAAGCTGCTTCCCGAGACCCTCAGCCCAGCCATTCCCGACTGGCGTGAGTCAGAGGTCCTTGACCTCTCGATCCCACCTGAGTCAGCTGCCACCAGCAAGCGTTCTCCCCCAGGAGGCTGTGGTGGGGGGCAGACGCCCTCTTTATCCCTCTCTTCTTCCGACCCAGAGCAGGAAACCGGCGACTGGCGTCCTGAGATGTCCCCTTGCTCTAACGTGGTGGTCACGGATGTCACCAGCAACCTCCTCACTGTCACCATCAAGGAGTTCTGCAACGCAGAGGATTTTGAGAAGGTGGCGGCGGGTGGTGGTGGAGGAGGCAGCAAGTGAGCAGCCAGGTCCCCCCACTCCAGTTGTGTGGGGGGAGCTCTACTGCGAGAAGTTGTGGTGCAAATGGCTGTCCTCAGTTCTCTCCTTCTCCCCTTGGCTGTCCCTCTGCCCTCACTGCCACCCTTCCTCCCCCTCTCCCCCTGCCCACTCCCTCTTGCCTGGAGGCTGGAGCGTGTCAGTGGTGAGGAGTTGGGGGCACCCACTGTTCCTGGGTGTCACTGCTGCTGGGAGGAAGCAGGGAGGGTCATGGTGGGGCTGGGGAGTGGTTGTTTGTCCTTGAATGTGGTGTTGTCCAATGGGCGGTGGAGCCTTTGGGGATGAGGGATGGGTGAGCATGTGTCTGTGTGCCTGTGGGTGTGGTGGGGAAGGTGCTCTACCTCCTCCTTCCCCTTCCATCACTGACAAAAACTGAAGAGGAGCTCCAGACCCTTGAGGGGAGGATATAAGAGGATTGGAGCCTTTGCCCATGCCCCCCAAGCCTTCTCCCATAATGTGCATGCAGTCTCTTCCATTCCTGTGTATCCCCTTGCCATGACACCGATCCTGCCATCTTTCCCCCTCTTGGTCTGCATCTGCCCTCTCCTCTGCTATCCTCATGGTAGTTCCTGACCCAGATGCCCCCAGAGTGAGGGGAAGAGGGGCAGGTGAAGCATCATTCCTGGAAGGTGCTTGAGACGAAGCTGGGATGGTGGGGGTGCCCAATGCAGCGTACACCCCATATCGGCTTCCCCTTTCCTTTGACTATTGGTGCTACCTTGGCAGTTGTATGGGCACTTTCAGATGCCCTGGTCCCTCTTTATCTTCCAACTTGCTCAGCTTTGCAGGGGAAAGGGAAGGAAAGGAGAGTCTGATTCTGGCCCAGATCTTCCTGCTGGTGTTCATTACTTGCACTTGCTTGAGGGAAAGAGCATGAAATGTCCTTCCCTAGCCTTTCTGTGGTGGGAGTGGGCCGGGCATCCAACCTTCAGTCTGGGGGAAGATACACCAACAGTATGATGCTGCCCCAGCTGGGAGAGACTGGTCTCCCTCCTTGCACATAAGCTTCCCCCCAGCTCCTTCAGAAGGAGGGAGGGATGGATGCTAAGGCAGATTGCTTGCTTTTCCTGCTTCCTTTCGTCTCCTGTGCTCTCCCTTCCCTGTGGTGGATGGCCTGGAAGAGGGTTCCCCTCTGTTTCCAAGTATCTGAAACAGCCCTTACAACTGTCAACCAAAGGTGCTAATAAGAAATAACTCACATTGTATGCATGTGCGCTTGATCTCTTCCCCAGGAGCTGTGAACTGATCTAGAAATTCCTTCTCTTTGCCCCAGCAAGTAGGAGTGAGTAAGATCATAGCTTACTCTCCCCCTGACCACCTTTGTTCACATCCAGAATAAGCTCTCTCTTTGCCTCCCCTTTCTGACTTGTTCTGTTTCTGTGTGGGTCCTAAACTTCATGGCAAGATACCGTTTCCTTGCTCTCCCTTCTCCCCCTATTTGCACAGGACTCAGCCTGTAGGTGCAAGGGAAAGAGGTGCTGATCCGTCGGTGGGAGAGCCTCACCCTCTCAGCCCTGTCCCTGGTATTTGGGAAGGGGCAAAGGGGTGTCACTTCTACGTAACTTGCTGCAGAGGTGAAAAGGGTGGAAAAACTTCCCCATGCTAGGGCTCACCTACTTAAGGATCTGCCCTGGGTGGGTGAACACGAGTGGAATTAGCCCCTCTGGTGCTTCTATACAAGGATGCTTGTGGGCTGCTGGCTCTGAGGAGTGCTCTTGTGTGGAGTAGTGATTTTGTGGTTCCAGTGGTCTGAGGATAGAAGGGAGGCAGTCTGTGGGAGAGAAGTAATACATGTTTGCCCAAGAGGCAGTGATGGCGTGGTAGAGGGACAGACCAGCTTCTGACCTTAATATAGGGCTTCTGTGCCCAGAGCTTGTCTTTTCCCTGCCTCCAGTGCCTGGGTTGGTGTAATGCTGCTCTCCCCACAGGCTCCTCCTGCCTTGCGGCCAGTGGCATTCAAAGCCATGGGGCAGGGTGAATTTGTGCCACTTGCAGTTGGGTGTCTGCGCAGACAGTCCGAGGGGGATTCCAGGTGCTGTTAGCACCACCCTTTGCACACCTCTTTCTTTTTCTTTCCTTGGTTAAAGAGCTCAGTGGACTCTTGGGATGCAGTTGCATTCACAGTTGAAGCTAGGGGCAGGGAGAAAGACTTCCCCAATCCATTCATCAAGCCTAAGGCTTCCTATAACTTGTTGGACTTGTGTGTGTGTCTGTATTAATACCTGCCTGTATTTTTCGTGTCTTGATTTGGGGTTTTTTGCATCTTTCCTGTGCCTGGCACACCCAGGGATCCCTTATTTTAGCATAGCCTATCCATTTGACTGCAGCCTCAAAGATGAGCAGTTTGTAGGCATGGGAAAAGCTAGGAAAATAAAGCTAGGGAACTAGCAAGGAGATTCTTCTCTTTTTCCCCCCTTCCCTTCTCAACTAGAACTCTTCTGTGGCTGTGAGATAAGAGGAGCTTTGTGGGGTGGATGCAAACTGGCCAGTCACTTTAGGTTGTTGAGTTGCTGTTTGGTGTGTATGTGATGTGCTTTGTTTTGTGGTATTGAGGTTCTGGAAAAAAAAAAAGCATTTAAGTGGGAGATAAAAGGGAACTTTAATAGGAAACTCTTGATGTGTTTTGGCCAAGATGTGTTTGCTTGGCAGGATTCTTTTCCCCAGTGTCTCTTGTATGGTGTTCTTTGGGGGCAGGGGACAGGAATTGCTTAATCGAAGGGGTTTTGCCTTTCTTCAGAGTGATAAGCAAAGGGACTGTCTGTGAAGAGCAAAATAGTGGGTCATTGTAGGAATACCCCGTGAGGACCCTCTTCCTGTGGTAAGGAGATGAGGGGACTTGTAGCAGAGGAACCTGTGCAGTAGATCCTCTTTGTGAAGGAAGAAAGGAGTATGATCCGGCTTGCAGATACGGCTCAATTTTTTGTGTGACAAATATCTCCCTGGGTGAGTCACCAGGTGGGGACCAAACCCTGAACCTCTGGATCCAAAAGGAGGATCCCATGCTGGGTTTGAGTTAGAAGTTTGCTAACTTGAACACACAGCAGCCTCAAGTCCCCTCACGTGGATGAGCCACTTGAGGCTGACTAACCTACCTTCGTATTCACATGGGTTGCACTCCTTCTGAATTTTTGCCCTTGCTCCTTAACGGAGATGGGGAAGTTCTATCCATGCCTTTTCAAAAGGGCATTTCATTGAGGGAGGAGTTTATCTGAAAGTATCCCCTTCCCTTCCCCATAACCCCTAGGAAAAAAAACAACAGGGAAATATTCTCTGTGTCTGTGCCATGTTTGTTCTCTTGTTGTCGTGTTTTTAGAGGAGATTTTATGATGGAGTGGAAAAAGTGAAATGATTAGTTTTGCATAAAAAAAAAAAGTTTAAAAAAAATTTCTACAGGGAGAGAGCGAGAGAGAGTTTAAAAATGATTAATAAATGCAGTGATTGCACAAACTGTAGTGGTAATAGAGATGGTCCTTAGAGAAAAGAGTATTTTGTAGTATCGAAGCATGTGTGTCTGGGATGGTGTTTGGCTTGCTTGAGCTGGAGGGAAAGACATTCTGGGACTAAGCAGCAATCTCTGAGCTGAAAAGGCAAGTTGCATGTTGGAGGAACCCTGTCTACAAACCCTTCCCGTCCTTGCCTCCCAAGTGTTGGAGTGAGTTCCCTTCCCTCCCATACCTCTCCTGTGAGCTAAAGTAGTCTCCAAGTGGTTTTCCAGCCGGGCGGCCCTCAGAAATGGCTGGTTGCGTTCTGCCAGAACGTGGATCAGGCCACCAACAGGAAACAGTTGACTTAACTTTGCATGCACAGCAAGCTGCTAAGATTTGGGGTTGTCATGTACCTTTCCTGCCAAGCCACTGTCTCTTCTCTTTTCCCTCCCCCATATCCAGGCAAAATTAACCATGGCGGGCTTATCTCCTGGGAACCAGATGTGCCTCCCCTTCATAGGGTCTCTTGGCTTCTTCCAGCATTGGGTGGGGAGTGGCATTTTTCTATATAGGATTCATCACATCAGGACAGAGAACCGAGTCCCATCTGTATGTAGTCCAGCATCCCATCTCTGAGAATGTTCAGATCTTCAGTGGTAGATGAGAGAGCTGCCTTGTGTGCTCAGAAGGTGCTTCTGGAGCCTCTTCTTGAGGCCAGCTACTGCTGGAGGCTTTGAGAGGAGGAGAGGAACACCGTGACAGGACTGTGTTTGAGTAAGGGCTGTTGTCTTCTGCTCTGGCTTCCTGCAGAGTGGCAGGGAAGAGTTGCCTGCACATTCATTCAGAGCTTCCCCATTCATGGTATCTCTGCTGGATGTTCATCTTGTGCATGGGAATGACTCTGGGGAGGAGGGAAGCTACCAGATGTTGGTGTCTGAACAGAGCATAGCAGGCAGGGGATGCTAGTACAGCTTTTCTTGTCTGGAATTCTCTGGTACCCATTCACCTGCCACTGCAAAGCTGAGGGTATCTCGATGCTTCCCACAGCCTGGGCTGCGCTTGGGAACTTCCTCTCTCTGCCTGTTGAGCTCTGTCAGTGCTTCCCACAGCTTTCAGCTTGGAGCAGCAGTCTCCTGTCTAATGCTTTCTTTTTCTCCTCGTTGAGCAGAGCAGGACCGGCGAAGTGTGAAGCTAATGAGGTGCAAACTCCTTTTGGGATGGAAAACAGAGAAATAGTGTGGTGAGCAGACCCAGCTGTGGTGAGCCGCTACTTGATTTCTGTTTTCAAAAGAGAGAGGGAGCTTTTTCTCTCCATCTCCGGTTACTGAAGTTCCCAGGGTAATTTTATGATATAAAGAAAAAACGCCAAAAAAAAAAAAAAGAACCCCTACAATCCTGCTTTTTATCAGGTAGGAGCTGTCTCTGAACTGAGTCTTCCTAGGGATTTCACTCCCTTTCCCAGACCCTCTTTGTAGAAGAGGTTTTGGCAGCTCCCAGTGTTTGGAGATTGCTTTCCTAGGGACCTCCTGGCAGAAAGAGGTTGTCATGCTGAAGGATGGTGTCCCGAGACCCCATGCTTATGCCTACCACAGGTTGTGGCATTAGTGGGGCTGCTCAGGATCAGGTCCTTCTTCCCAGGGAGGTGTAACAAACCTGGAGTGTGTGTCTGGCTAAGTGCTTATTTCCCTTCTTGCCTCCTTCCCCACTTTCAAAGACCTTCTCCTCCTTGCCTGGTGCATCTTTTTACTCCAATGTCGCTTGCTTTTGCTGCATTTTTCAATCGCTCATAATCGTGCGAGAGCTGGGATCTTATTTACTTTTTATATAGAAATATAGAAATATAAAAGAAACCCTGCCCTCTTCCCTCCCCATCTCACCCACCACCCTGTGTGCAGCCTTCCCAATCTCTGCTCTGAAGAAGGTTAATTTGGGGGTGGGGATTTGGTGCCTCCTGGGTTCCGTTCCTTTGTTTGCCGTGGCCTTTCTGCCAGCTGTGTCACTGCCCTGTGCCTCCATCTCCCTGGTGCAAAGGGCTGGAGGGGACCATCCTACTGAGGGTGCTGGCAGCCCGACTCCCATGGCATTGGCATGGAACTGGAGCAGTGCCGAGTATTGCTTCAGAAATCCCCTTTTCCCTGTCTGTGCTTCCTTCCCCAGGTAACTCCAGAAGTATCTTCACTTCATTGATGCTTTGGGGTTGAGCAAAAAAGGTGGCTTTATTTTCTTTTCTTTCTTGTATTTTCTAGGTCCCTCCCCAGAGTGCAATGTGTATGGTTTCCTTTTGGGGGTGTAGATGGGAGGAGATGTTGAAGTCTATCTTTGTCCTCACCTTTGCCCTTCCATCCCCTACTTCTCTCCCCTTTTGATGCTGCCCTGTGTTAGGATGGTGGGGTTTGCACCGTCTGTGTGGGGTCAGCAGTGTTGGCACCAACAGCTTCACATGTGGTGTGTGGTGCCTCTGAGGTGCCTTGTGTTGCACCTTGTTTGTAAGGATGTCACAGGGCCCTGCGTTCTTTCTCCCTTTAAATTTCTCTGTCTGGGAGTGAAGGGAGGTGTAATTACTTTGCTCTCCCCATGGTGTTGGGCTGCCTCTGGCAGCTCTTCTTTCTCTTCCAGCTTCTCTGTGGTAGGAAACAAAATGTCTCCAGGACTGTCCAGAAGCACAGCTCTTGTGGTGAGAATCCCCCTGCCTCATGTTAGTGCTGTGCTTTGAGCCCTCTTCCTCCAAGCACCCACCTAAGCGTGCTGGCAGGGGGCTGTGCTGGGTGTGCAAGAGTGGGGATGCCCCCTGCGCTCCCAGGCTGGGTGGAGCAGGGAAATGGACAGAAAGCACCATGCTGCAGCATAGGAAATAAGTAAGGTGATGGAAGAGCTGCTGGATGCAGTCAGAGTGATGCCAGCTTCAGCAGCAGCTCAGAAAACATATCTGGCACGAGGGAAGGGGCATGGTTGGGCTAAGCAGCTGAAGTGCTAATTCCCATTGCAGGGCTCTGGTCCTTGACTTCCTTTCTTGTTCAGCTGAGCACTTTGAGCTGCACTAAACTGCAGGAGCATGGCTGGGTGCATCAAAGCACTTTGTGGGGCTTTGGGGCCTTGTTGGGCTGGCGGGGTTCTTGTGTGGTCCTGAGTAGCCCCCTGGCTGCACCCTGCTTTCTGGGGTGCTGAGGGTTTCCCTTGGCAGAGTAGCAGGTAGGTGCTCTTTAGCTGTTCTGGAGGGATGCTGCTGCTTCCAGCCCCCTAGCTGCAAAGGGGGACATCATCTTAGGTCAAGTTCTCAAACAGAGCAACTGCAAAAAAAAATAATACTCTTTAAGATGACTTTTTTCCCCTAGAAAAAGTTGTCGTGCCTGCGCCTCCCCTAAGCTAATCAACTTAGTGTGCTGTTCTCCCCTCTCCTCTCCCTGCTGGTAAGCCTTGTGTGCTCCTTAAGAATAGAGGACTCTCTATTTTGGGATTATGTTTTTGTTCCCCCGTTTTCTTTTTGCATAGAAAGTTGTCCACTGGTGGTGGAGGAGAGGGGTCTGCCTAGTCTGTTCCTTCCTTTCACCTTCCCCAGTGCCAAGCTTAGGCTTAAATCCTGCAGGTTTCTGCAAATTCTGAACTTGAAGCAGGTGAGTTACCCCACTGAGCTCTGTGGTACTTGGGTGCTTCAGGTTCTGCCTGCGCTTGAGTTTTGGTAGCATCAGAGCCTTACCCCTTTCTCTTAGAGAAGGTCAGACCTAACTCCTAGAGTGCATATGGTTCTGGTTCAACCCATTTGTCTCTCTTTCCCCTCACTTTGGCATACAGAGTGAAGGTGGTAAATTTTTTTTAATTTAAAATAAACCTAAATATGTATCTTGTAATTTTTTTTTATTTTTAAAAAATGCATTTAAGGATTGTGCACGGATGAATTGTATATCTATTTTTTTCTTGAAATTTTCATTTTAAATATAGTGTTTGTTCAGGTTTCTGGTTTTGTTCTTTGTTGTTTTTAATCCAGTTCCCAGCTGGCTAAACTCTGTCTAGAGCGGATGGGTGGGAGGCAAAGCCACTGGAGGGGTGATCGGATCACCCCTTCCCCTGGTGCTTCCCACAAGAAAATGGTTTGCTCCAGGTTTGGGGGTGGGGATTGTGCTAATTACTCTTGTATTCTTGTACATTTTGTTCTATCTGCTGCTCTTGAATATTGTATCAATGCCAGAAATGGGGAGATAAAAATTAAAAACAAAAAAAAATTAACCCCCAATAAATTGTTACATTCCAAACCCTACAGTCCTCGTTTCCTTTGTAGGGCCGTGGCCTGCTCTGGTTGTAAGAAGTGGCCTGTGGAGCTGGTAGCTGAGATACTGAAATGCTTAATACCTTCTTGAGTGGTTTCACATCTAGTTGGAGATCGGTCACTGGTGGTGTCTCTCAGGGCTCGGTGTTAGGGCCAGTGAAGATCATTAATCTTCATTAGTGATCT